AAAAAGATCTTATCTAAAGGGTTCTTCGTTGAGAAAGAGGCCAGAGCGGTGACCAAAACCGTAGCCCTGAACCAGTAGCATCCTACCTCGCCATCTTCATTGGCAAGACAAAAACCAAACAACCAAAAAAAAACTTCTATAAAAATTAAGTTATGAAAAAGAAAGAGAAAACGAAAGGAAGATGAAAATAGGTAGACTGGCAGTGATTGCAAATGCATTTTCTATATTGTACCTATTCGTCGGACAACTCTGCCTGAAGACAAATGGAAGTAGAGTAAATGATATAGATTGTCACGCAGGCAGGAGGCCAGCTGAGCAAAGCAGGCATATGAACTATATCAGTATGGTTTTACTTTTACCACTGTCATCATCGTCGACCGCCATTGCCATTGATAATGCTTCGAGGATTCTCGGCACGGAACGTTCACATTTTCACGTGCCATATGCAGTAACGCCCGGTGTTATATCTCGTATCGGATCGTTATCAATCGGATGCTTTTCCTATCTTCATTGATATGTTCTAGGTTGACTGCACGCAAATGCATCGTAGTGGAGATCATACATATGCACAACGCAATTAAGTGAAGTTGCTTTATCGTCGTGCCATCCATCCAACAGTGGGGTCTGATTCGGTGCCGTCGGCGGTGTTGTCCTCAGCAATCCGCGCACAGCCGGTGACAGTCATCGCGATCGAGAACAACAGAACGCAACAGCGAACCGTTGATTCTCAAGGTGTACATATATGCTATGCGCGTACTAACCACGACCTCAAGGCCTTCTATTTCCGATCCCACGGTGGTGATGCGATCAAAGCAAGCAAGATGGAGATCCGAGAGCGGCGATGAAGACGACGACGACGACGATGATGATGATGATGATCATGAAGAAAAAGAAGACGAAGTATCCTCAGCGTACCGGTGGTAGGCAGCTTGTCGTATCTGGTTCCGAGAGCGGATGGTACACATAGTCGGAGCTGCTGGTGCTGTGCAGCCGGCGGGAGTGCTCCATATACTGCTGGCCGTGGCCACATACATACACGATATAGCGAACAGCCTTGGATAAAGAATGCATTCAGGCACAGGTTAGTGAGGTTCGAGTCCAAAGCGAGCTGCTCTGTGGTGCGCGGAGTAGAAACATGGGTCGTCCTATTAAAGGCTTGGATTGAACACACAATGGTCGCTATACAATGATAACCTTTTGGCAGGAACGAGTAAAGGGCCAATATTTTTCTTGTAGACTACGTAACTTCTCTATCGAACTAATTCTCTATGTAAGTTTCACAGCCACTAAGTTTTATGCGACCAAGACTATGTTAAAGATCGAGACGCGGAAGAAGATTAAGGACTGGCACCTCGAAGCTTCTCGTTAGAACGTTTTCCGAGGTGAGAGCCTTCAAGAAAGCGAAACTGGGCTAGCCTGAGCGGGGCCCCTCAAGGTTGGGAGTAGGGCGAGCCAAGAGAAACGTTGAAGAAGGGTTGCTCAGCCAGCCGGGAATAGTGGCTGCTGGATGAGCTGTTGAGAGATATTCAGTCAACACAGCCGTTTCAATCCGACCTCCGGCGCGCCCCTCCCCGATCGCGCTGGCAATACCACAGTGGCACAGCCTTGTAAGCACGTCTTCATGGTTGTGCGTGCGCACTATGTATCTTCAATGCACATAGAGCTCACGGGAAAACATGGGAGACCACCACAGAACACGGGCCCCCTCAGTAACCAGGGAACTGCATTGCCAGTAACGGCCAGCTGTATTACGAAGATAGAGGTACTTTCACCTACAATATAATACTTCGTTGAACTTGGCCAAAATTCAGCCAGCTGATGATACATGCATGTTTTATATATGCGTATATGTATATGTGTTGTCTTTTAAAACTATAGCAATTAAGAAGCTGGCACTTAATTAAGTAATTAAAACACTTGGCAAACTTAATAGTTCTACTTAACATTGATGCCTAACATTCAAATAGTTATGGGCCCCGCACTACTAGTAGAACTATTATTTTTTGCAGTTTATGCACGATATCAACGAAGTATGTAATGTCAAATTTGTTCCTGCGGTAGATATATGTACCCGGTAAAATTATTTCTTAATCATTTACTGATCCTATGGTATTCACAGAATTTTTTTGTTTTACCATGTTCGATTATTCTGTCAGTGACCATTCCTTTCGTGTTCAATGACAGACGTATACGTTCCGGTGCGAATTCAGCTATTTCCCGTAAGAACAATCGTCCACACAACTGCCGGAGTGGCTCTAGATCGGGAAAGAGTCAGTACACCGGTTATCTCGGAGGTCACCGGCGACTGTTTCGACTCTAACCTTTATCTCCTCTCAGTATAGAAGAACCATCGGTCAGATTCAATGGACGCTGATTTGGGTGACCTCTCGAAGAGGTGAGAAGGGTGGTTGGCCTGCAGGCCACCTAGCCCGATGTGGATCTCGACCGTATCCGGCAAATCAGGCTTTTGAGACGGACAGCGTTGTGCAGCACACTCATTCAAACTCTTCAGCCCTCGCTCCGATCAATTCGGCGCCTATTCCGAGATCCCGGACCTTGAAATGCGAGCGAATCTATATTGAGCGACTGCGGCCGCTGCGAGACACCAGACGAAAACCAGACAGTAAGACAAGTTGTCTTGTTAATATCCCCCGGTCTGCTAGTCCTTCAATGTCTGTTCGCCCTTTCATTCCCAAGCAAGTCTGCCCAGACACCCCCCCCCCCCCCCAAGTGAGTTTGACACCGTGAGCACCGCGAAGCTTATGTATCGGTTTCGCTCGCCACCTTTTATTCGCACCCGGCGACTATCTTCGCATCCCACTCCTGTCGTAGCAGTTGTATGAGAGGGAATATGCGAAGACACTGTAGATCCGCTTTTGCCTGTGCTTCAGTTGAAGGATAAGTGTGGCGCGGTTATGACGGAGATCAGTGCGTAAACGAACCTGCCAGTCAACCGGATAAGCTGAAGTGCACGAAAGATCTGAAGTCACATCGCCAGCCATCTTGTCCGGCTGTTCCGATTTAGAAGACTCAGTTGCACACTTATCATAGGACATAGCGTCGAAATTCGAGATAGATACAAAACAAAATCGAAATTATGTATATATATATATATAAGGGAAGAGTAGCATTGTGAGAAACAATGGCGACTGAGTTTACGTATCTTGGTAGTAAGTTACTAATCGGAACTATGCTAGAGATAAGTTGCGCAAGCTAAATACATACGCTTGCCAATCGCTGGCAAAATCTGTTAGAATAATCCAGGCGGATGTTTTCAATTAATGTTTCAGCTCAACTAAACTGTGATCAGCTTTGTACCCAATTTTATGGCTATCGGATATTGGTGAATAATAGGAACCTTTTAGGGCCCAGTGCCGTTGCTCCTTCGGGTTTTACAACCCCAACAGTGCTCTCGCAAACCTGAAAGCTCTTGTCGTCGAACAGGTGAAACAGGTTGGCTCTTTGTTACCCTCTTCTCAGACCTGACACTTAGCGCCTGATTACTCGAGTCACTACAGCTGATTCACATTTACATAAAGCTGTTGACACACTAAAATATCAAATTCTTTAGGATTCTTTATTTTAGATAGATAGTTTTTAGGACATACTTGTGTAAATCAATCATATATGTGTATGGGTATTGATGATCCCCCTGTAGAATTCCATTAACGAAACGAAAGTAACCTAGCGTCCTTAAAAAAAACGATTTGTCTTATACGGCAGGCATAGGCCTGTGTCGTTAAGTGTTTTCGAGAATAGTTTCTATCCAAGGAACGGCATGAATTCAGTAACGATGTGTTGCCTATGGACTTTGCTAAATAAAGCAAACAAATTAACTTGAGAAAAATGTCTCGATTTAAAGTTCTACAAGTTTCAGGATTCCTACAGAACCGACTCTTTCTATTCGTATGTGCATCTAACAATGGCGTGATCATCAATGGCAAAACGCTTTACAGTCATGTGGTTTCTCTGTTCAAGGCGTTGTTTTTGCATGATAGACAGCAAAACGACATTTGCTATAGTCATCACTAGATCGACGAGCTGGCTGGACAGTGTTAGAGCAGCCACTCTAGAAGCCGGCTTGAAAGTCCTACCGCAGCATCTTATTGTAGAGTAAGAACAAATGATTTGGCCGAAGTGACGCGAAATCGAGCACAGATGCGGCCATCCAGAGCACAAAGACCCTGTATCAACATTCCGTGCGCCCTGTCCAGCTGGGAACTATTAAGGCCCTCGAGGTCAGCATGGACAGAGAGGTCGACAATGCTCACAGTATCACGCTTAGGTTAACGTATGAGGCAACTGTCCGAGAAAGATGAATGTCATTGGAAATGTCACTCATTGATCGTGTAGCTCCTTGTGTAATCCTTTTTACAACGAACGTTCGCTAACTAAGGCCTGGCGACCGATCGAATTTAATTAATGTGTACTCAATAATAACTTCAGTAAGCTTTGAGAAGTACGCACTTTATCCAAGCACACAACCATAAGATGTTGCCGTAAAGCAAGAAAACTCGCTGTTTTAGTTGGCTTGCCAGTTAATCTTTGGGCAGGTCCCACCTTCGTGCCTATCGAATTAAGGCCAAACATGAAATATAACCAACAGGGCGTAATGTAAACGATTCCGACATTTACCCAATCATATAATCCACTTTCGTCGAATTTACACACATACTATTTCCGAGACAGCGTAGTACTCATGTGCCTATCTGCCCACTAAGCTAAGAGACAAGTGGTGACCTAGGTTTATGACAAGACGTAAAAACGCTTCGTATCCGTCTGAAAAGACGCTTAACTATAGTAGCATCTGACGTAAAACTCGAAAAATTCGTACACATACTGACATATCCATTCGTCATGGCATATTTTTGTAAGCCACATGTGCCATACTCGGTCAGTGAACTAACCGATTGATTTATCATACTGGTAGTATGTGTGTATATATTATTTTTTTAGGTATAAACTAAATCTACATATGTATTTGGCCACTGTACACTTACCGAGTACATGTTTGGACTGGAACTAGCTCCGAGCATTCCCGTGAGTCGGTGTGGACCCGTGGGGTCCTGGATCTTCGTGTACCACGGGTCAGGCTCATAAAATTGGCCTGGTAGCCCTGCAGGGCCCAGGCTCTCCGTACTCGCCGCCAGCTCCGCCGTGCCCTGGCCACCTGCCGCCTGCTTGACCAGCAGCGTGTTGTCGTTGTTGTTATTGTTGTTATTATTATTATTGTTGTTATTGTTGTTATTGCTTGTCGTATTATTGTTGTTATTGTTGTTGTTGTTGAGGCCCCTGTCGCCCGTAGGCGTCGAGCTGTAGAAGTGCAGCCGCTGGTCGGGCGAATCGGCAGTGATCATCTCCGCTTGCTTTCGTTAGAAGCAGCGGAGCTCTGCTTCTGATCCTGCTGCGTTTGGGAATAAATTGTTTGATTGAAATGGTGGTAACAACAATGGTCGAAGTGGCTTTATCAGAAACAAGATGAACGAATACGGCAAGATTTTTTACTTGCCTCGGCTGTTACTGCGATTACGAATGAAATTATCGTGGGTCTGATGAGTTTACCCGCAAATTTGGTTATGTTATATTTACTTGTTCGCCTATCTTACGTTATTAACAAGTTTGCTTCCGCAGGTCCTTAGCTTCTTGCATGCAGTCCTGTCGTACAGGAGTTGGTTTTTCTGAGCTTTGTTATTAATTAGCTATCGTTACGCCAAACTCGCCACTTCAAGAGGTGGTGCGCAGCTAAGATCTTGGACAAGTCTTCGAAGACCTTGCGCACCCCACTGAAGTTGTGCCTGTCTCTTTCACAACGAGAGATGTTTGCATTCGATGTTTGTCTGCTCTTTTCGCGTCGTTGGTTACAGTTGGTATGGTAGTAGCAGTATTTATTATAGATATAATTACTAACGCTTTTTTCTTTTTGGTTGATTGCTAAAGATTATAGAAAAGATGAGATAGGAAAACAGAGATGAACAGAAGTTGATGATGGTAAGATTAGGTAGATGGCTAGCCAACGACCTCTTTAGTCCGAAGTGGATAGGAAGGGTCGAAAGCCTTTCAAAGATCGATGAAATGCACGTTTGATATATTGGAGTTAATTTGGTAGTGACACAACAATTACGAGTCCGGCCGAACTCGTCTTTCGTGTCTGATGTCTTCGTCGTCGTCACGTTAACCACGTAGGGAGATTTGTTCCAGTCGTTCCTTCAAGGGCTTCTCAAGGGGTAAAGGAAAAACTACAGGGCTTCGCTAGGGGCACGGCGGATCTGCTTAAAATTTGAATGGCGGTTGTTCGCGGGCGAGCTTTTGTGATCGATGGACTTCTTAACGACGACGTCGACACATTATAAAAAGATGTTGTACAAGATGTAGGAAGTTGATATAACTATCAAAGGTCTCTGCAGAAAGATGCTAGGGAAGATGATGCTGAGGAATTATAATGAAGATCATAAAGATGAACAACACATAGTGCACCTGTATTAAGTAATACACTTTTCACGATCAACAGCACATGAGACGCATCCACACAATCGTCGATTATTTGCTTGCTTGCTTATCTGGTTGGTGACGTAATAGTAGGAGTTGTAGCAATTTCGATAATTACTACAGTAGTTGTTTCTCGCTTTCCTGAAGTAGTTTCTTTTTCTTGTAGATTTTTGACCTTCACGATCGTTGAAAAAGCATCTCCATGAAATAATTCCCCGCGTAGGTGTAACGGGCCCAGGGTATGTATGATGTTGCTGCGGTCCTGTTATCTGCGGATCCGTGATTCAGGAAACCGGAGTCTAGTTATCTGGTCTCTTCCCGGGTTCCTGTCCGCCACTTGTTGCTCCGCTGGATAATCGGCGTGAAGGTAAGTTTGTCAGCTCTGAATAACGTCTCGCTATTAGCTGGCGCGATGGAGACTTCTTACAACAGTTCAGTCTCGCTTATCTCTGAAGTTTGCGCCTTTCTCCTTCACGTCATGTTTCTCCCGAGCACTTGTATAGACGCGATGTAACGTAAAAACGTACCCCGGTGGTTGAATTTGCTTCCGTGTATGAGGCTTTTATAAATGGCAGAGCGTTGAACAAAGAAAAGGATTTCGTAGTCAGGCTGACTGAACAGTGAAGCTATTCGCGCACGTTTGAGAGCGGGTCCCTGCTAAAACTCTTCTGTAGGTTTTGTGTGCTTTGTGAACGAGTCGTCCCAAAGCACTTGCTGCACAGTTTCACGAGGACTTTTACCAACTACAAGAGCTGTTGTTCGCGCTGGAGTACTGCTCGCGATAAGGTGTTCTGTCGTTTCGCAGGTACCGATCAAAGTATCGGTCGCTGACCGTTTCCTTACGTACGGACATCACAGTGCGTACGCCAGCAACACGCACGTGTCACATCAGAATGCCACTGAATATCCTTGTAAATACACTATTTTTTGGTGGCAATAGTTGATTAGTAAAATCGGTACTTGTTTTCTTTTTCCTAATACTAACTACCCCACTTCAGCTAATATATTCCGGCCCGATCCGAGGCTCGGGCTTGTGACAGTTTTGTCCTCTGGTTGACATTGTACTGTTAGAGTACATCTATTCAACACAACTTGGTCTCCTCGCGCAGGACGGCTGCTATCTTGTTGTCATATAGAGACACGAAGTTCACGCAAGCTCACTCGTTTGCGTTCAGCATGACGATGGTAACCGCCATTGATCAATCACGCTGAGGCTCGAATAGAGACGATGTAGAAAACCAAAACCGTACATTATCTAGAAACTGTACACAAAAAAAATGCACCACCGCCAACAAAGGGCTAACAATAATTCAACGTTTTTCCCTTATCTGCCTTTCATTATTTAGTTTCCGTCATTTATTATTCACGGTTCAAAACACTGAAAACACATTGGTCCGTTCCGTATTTACGTGGGCGTGCACGTCCACGTCAATCCTACGAGGGTGTAATTCACTGCACGGTAATAACAAACACACCATTGCTCAGGTAATATTGGTCATTCCGATCGCGTTGCTTTCTTTCGTCGCTCTTCAAATAGGGTCAATTGGCGATTATCGCCTTGATTGAAGATTGATTGATTGATTGATATACAAAGAAATGCACTACTTACACGATTTTCCGCACTTTCCCAAACGATTCCTTTTATTGTCGGTTAGTGTGTAGTACCGCTGCGGGAACTGCGATTGCTCGACGTCCCGTCCTCTCTACAAACCGGGTTGGTTTCTGCGCGATTTCCGCTACAGGTTCGTCACTGTCAGGGGTCAGTTTCACAGAGGGGTAAGGGGTTTGTTTCAAGAGCCGCGTAAAATTTCCCCGAAACCTTCTAAGCCTATTGTTTTTTTCCTGTAGGGTTGAGCTTGTTTCTGTTTGGTATCTTCTGTTTTGTTCAGCAAATCTACGATTTTCTTTGTTTCGGCGCTCCACGGCAGGTGTCTACATGCCGTTCCCTTGTACCGCAACGGTTTGCCTTGCCGATGCTTGTTGTCGGCAATAGAGTAGGCGGATGTAATGCTGCAGCTGCAGTTGCTGCTTGTAGTGGCCAAGCGTCTGCAGCCGCTGCCTGCTGCTGCTGCTGTTGGCCTGCCTGCCTGCTGGCTAGTCGCCGTCGGTACAGCAGGGCCAAGGAAAGCAACCTGCAACCTGTCTACCGCTGACGCTAGCCGACGTGCGGTGCGCCTCTCACAGGCAAAAAATCCCGACTGAGCCGCTCTTCACTGGGCTCGCGGCAGCCACACAAAAATCGTGCGCTCACTGGCCCGAGCCCTCTCTCAGCCCTCCCTAGGTCCGCTGCTGCTGCGGCGGCGGCCGCTGCTGCTGCCACGGCCACAATGACGAGGACTGTTACTGCTGCGACGGCTGCTGCCGCGTGCAGCGAGCTGTTCTGTTACCAAACTGCTGTTGTGCTACTGGCGACAGCAATGGCCGTGTGCTGTAGCGCGTTTGTTTCTGAGCGGATGTGTGCGCTCTCGCAACGGCAGCTGATGCTGCTGGCTGGCAGGCACTTGTCTGCTGGATGGCTGTCCTGTCTCTGCGTCTGTTGAGCTGTCGATGTGTATGTGCGTGTGTGTGAGCGTGCGCGCTTGTCAATGAGTTGAGGTGGTTGCGGCGCCGGCTAGTGCCTCCGTGCGTCAGTTGATGCTGCTTGATAGCAGGAGCAGCGGCCGCGGCCGATGCCGATGCCGTAGTTGCTGCGAGCGAGCCTTCTAACCCAACGCAGCGGCAGCGACAGTGGCCCAACGACGAAGTCGCAGCAGGAGAAACCCTCTCCACTCTCAAACTGGCGCGCGCGACCCGTTGCCCCGCCTCCTCAGTCGGAGCTGCGGCAGCAGCAGCGGACAATGCTGCAACCGACTATAACAACCGTACTAGCTGTCGTAGCGGTGGTAAAAAAGTGTTCAGAGAGAAGCCGACTGGATGGGTAGAATCGTCACCCAGGAAGGTCGCCAGAAGCAAGCTAGCGAGCTGTCAGGCCACCACGTCATAGGAGACAATGTAGGTCACAAGGCAGCGATGGAAGGCCACCCGTCGGCTGATTAGTTTGCCAGAGTCGTCTGCCGTGGCCTATGGATATTGCTATTCCTGCATAGGGCCCTGCTGCACTCCGACCGAGGAATGCGTAAGCAAGTCGTCCCGGAGTCAAAACACGCTCAAAGCTGCTAGTAGAAATCCCTGCAGGACAACGCTGGCTTCTGCTGGACACTCAGCTCAGGACACTCAGACAGGAGAAGTGGAGGATACACATCACCAAACACCATGTAGAAGAACTACTATAGGGGTTGGCTCCTACATAGCCGACTATCAACAAGCCGGGCTCATAGCCGGTGGCTTCAGCTGCCACAGCCTTTTCCTCCTATTCCGTCAATGAGCTTTGTCGTCTCCGAGGACGGCGTAAGGTTGGAAGATATTTGCCTTTCCATGTGTATATGGCCGCGTGTGCAAGAGGCAGAACAGACATCGGTGACAATTATCGTGGCACACCCACACACACACACAGCCGCGTAGAGAAACCTATCCCTTTTTGCCACGGGTCCACCTCTGTTCAATCCAGGGGCTCAAGTTGCCCGCCCATTTTTTCTTTGGATACCTGGACCCTCTACGCACAGGAATCCGAAAAAGCGTCTTTCTTTGCGTACGCCAGGAACGTATTAACAGCCGCAGCAGGACCCGAACCGAGGGACTAACAGCATTGACGGACCCGAACAGATCGACACAGGCTCCTGCATCGGCCTTTTCCCTTTTCTGTTAGGCGGAATTCTAATTTTCGGCCTGTAAACAGCATACGGTCACGCTGCCAAAATTTGGGAAAGAGACGTCAGCATCTTGTCCCAGCTGAAAACGACCGAAAAGAAGTAATGGCGGCTCTCTTTCCCTCACCGGGGTTCCTCACTGAAAACCTGTGTGGTGCAGCTAATTTTGCCAAACTTCCTCTCTCTGCTTCTCTCTGTATCTTTTTCTCGCTATGTATGTATACAATATATGTTCAGTGTCTGATGTTTTGTGCTGGCCTGCTGTTCGGACTATACCGAATACTGCCCGCGCATCAACGTTTCTTTGCATCGCTGATGGCGTGTGGTGGCTGGCCGTCGTGCGTTCGTTTCCCCGGCGTGTGCTTGTGTATGTCTGTCCATCTGGCTGTTTGTGTGCGCGTATATGACAGCGTTGTGTGCCTACCGGTCGTAGCGGAGCCAGCGGTTGCTGTGGCGGGTTAAGGAACGGTTGTACGACCGCTGCAGTCGTGGCTGCTGCTGCTGCTGCTCCGCAGCGGCGCCGGGTGAGACGGCGCGCACAGCGCAGCAGGCGGATGGCACGCGGCTGGGCGGAGCCTCCAGAGGTCTTTTGTTTTTGAACTACGCAGCCCGGACGAATCAGATGGGGGGCAGCTGTGAGCTGCTTAACTGAGACTACTGCTGCTGCTACCGCTGTTGCAGAGAGTTACTAGTCGAGAATTGCTAGTTGCCTTTAACTGAACGCTTGATGCGTGCGATTCCCTCAACAGCTCAAAAAAACCGATGCTTCGGTGGGGCAATGCGAAGCACCGCCACCGGTCCCGGCAGCAGCACATTACGGGTGCTTCTGTACGCTACAACACATGACACACGTACATACAAACACATAGGCTACTGAGACCCTGACCGGCAGAAACCTCACAGGCCGGCAGACCGCAAAACATGCATGGACATAGACGGCATAATGCTATGGTTGCCGCTGCTGCCGTCGCCGCACCTCCGGCCGCCATCGGTAACCTCTGTACGACAGAATCATCGATCGAACAACCTCTGCACGCATCGATAGCTGGACGACGTCCTGTACGAGCCTGGTTAACTGAGAACCTCTTCACGCAGGGTGATTTTGCTGCGTGAATATTTGCTACTGAAATAAGGGTGCTGGCTTTGCATGCCGCTCTTTGAGATTAGATTGGTCACGGTGAATGCTAAGGGGCAAAAATGGCGAGGTAGTAAACGTTGAAGAAAATTATTAGCTTATGGAAATAGTTAGATGGGATTTCTTATGTTTTTTTGACGCTGCCGCAAAAGTACGCAGCTAAGTTATTCAAGAGGAAAAAGGCGGAACTACGCACTGTGCACATATGAGGAAGACGGTACTAAAAAGAAGTACTCACACGAATATAATGAAAACGTCATACAGCCTGTTGCCTTAAGGACATCCTGTAACATGGCGAAGTCGAAAAGAGAATAAAGGAAAATATAAGTACGCTTCAATAGGGTATATACCGTTAAATTATAAGAAGATGTCTGGCACACCTGCAATCAAAAGGGAATTAATTCTTCTATTCCAAAAACAGCGAATTATCTATATCAAGGGTTATAGTTAACCGTATATAAACGTCTACCGAAGTTCTTTCCGTACTTCAATTACAATACAATTGATCCGCGAACGTTCAACCTCGCATTAGAGAAGCTCGAAACTATCGAATTGCATGAGGCCGGCTTTACCATCCGTCTCGATCTTCCACTCGTTCGCTTACGCTTCTAAAAAGGATTTGTATTACGTTTTCAAAACAGTAGAAACAACAAGATGCCTTTTAACCAGTCACTATCCAACAACTGAATCAGTAATGCCGTCCGATGGCACTAAGCGTCTGACGATTAGAAACTATTAATTCGTTACCTGTATCATCCCTTTCACCCTGTTCATTTGGACCGCCTCTATCACATAAATGGTAGGTTGCTCGGCTTAACTCATTTCCTGTCCTACCGCCTATCTAAACCTAAGGTTTTTGGTCCTTTTCTTCACTATCTCTTGAAACAAGCAAGTAGATTACGCTCTACCAACTCATAGCGAGGCTCTCTAGGCAATGTCATCATACATCGACTCTGTGATTCGGTCTAAAGTTGCGGGCGGCGACCCAGCGGCGAGCGAAAACTTGTCAAAAGCAAAACTGTTCGCCACTGCCGTTGACGCCAGAGATGACTTCCGATACTTTTTTGCCAGCCCTAGCTTTCCAAGATAGTCACCAGTAGAGTCGATGTAAATGACTTTTGTGTTCACATAAATATAGGTTGCGGGTACTAGTAACAACGGCAGCTCGAGCTACAGCCAAGGTAAGGCCGGCATCGACGAGGCCAATAATGGCAATAGCAGGCTTAGCTGCAATAAGCTGGCCTGTTTTCTCGTTCAATGGTGCTTCGTATACACGAAACCTAGAGAACAGAGCAGACGCATATGCCAGTGACTGTAATTATTTCAACAAAATATGATGTGCTCGTATGGGTGTATGTACATTTGTCGGCGGCCGATATTTGCTGCACTAGAATGACCAGCCCCCTTGAGTTCACTGCCCCCGTGCTTTAGTTGGGATAACCCACAATCTTCTGCGGAATACCGTTCGCATTGGATCTCTGACAAAACATGTTTCCTCCTAAACTTACCCAACATTTTATCATTTATTTTAGTCTATTTATCTGGTAGCCGTAAACGGTTTCTGTTATTCCTACTGTCTTATTACCACCATCCCATCAGGTAGTACGGGGCTAATCCGACTTTTTTTCCGGTAGTTTTGGCAGCGTGATTAACTAGTCAGCACGATTCCATATTATATCCACAAAATTAGCCACTATGATAATCTCCACTGTGCTTGCAGTTAAAAAAATCGGCAGTTCACAACGAAAGATAAGTACTGTGCAGTAGATTTGCCGCTGTGCAACGGGCGCCTATAGCTCGCTAGTTTTTGCAAAACAGGATGTACGTCTATGTAAGTAACCTTGGTGACTAGCAGTAGCAGCAACAGTCTGCTTAGGTACATACTTAAGTCCGCTAAAAAAACGTCTGATCTTAGCAGACACTCTAAAATTTTGGGATATCCCAACTGCTGTGGTAGCATCGAACGGCAGCTTGACCGGCAGGCCCACACAGCCCTTCCTCCTACACGTACGTAGTCGCACAGTTACATGACTTTTCCTCTATACCTACACGCAGAGCGGTTTGTAGTCTTGGGCCGTCTGCTGCTGCTAAAAGAACCA